CGTGTATATGAAGATTTTTCTTTCACCCTCAACTATAATAGACATTTTTTCTGTGTATAGTATTCTGGGCTTGCATCTATTGTCATGTAGAACTGGAAATACCTTGGTCCAGGCTCTTCTGGCTTTCATAGTTTGCATTGATAAGTCAGCTGTGATTCTGATGGGCTTTCCTTTGTATGTGACTTGTTCTTCTTTTGCTGCTTTCAGTGTTCTCTCTTTGTTCTGTACAGTTAGTGTTTTTACTGTGATGTGTCGTGGGGAGTTTCTTCTCTGATTCTATTTGGTGTTCTCTGTGCTTCCTGTATTTGTATGGGGATGTCTTTCCTTAATTTCAGGAAATTCTCTTCTACAACCCTGTTTAAGATCTGGTCAACACCATTAACCTGAAATTCTTCTCCTTCCTCTATTCCTATGATTTGTAGATTTGGTCTTTTCATGGTGTCCCACATCTCTTGCATATTCCATTCCTGTTTTGTTTTTTTTGTTTTGTTTTGTTTTTGTTTTTAATTTTCCAGAATCTTTGCTTGACTGGTTCAATTCTTCAGCTTTATCCTCCGGTGTTGATATTCTGTTTTCCATTTCATTCATCCTAGTGGTGAGGCTTTCTTCTGTTGTTTCAAGTTGGCTTATTGAGTTTTGCAATTCTTTCTTCATTTCTGCCTGAGATTTCTTCAATGTTTCTCTTTTGTGAATTCATTCAGATGTTTATCCCTATCTTCTTTGGATCCTTTGATTTGTCTGTTTGTGTGTTCTTTAAATTCGTTGAATCTTTGATCATGTTTATGACTGTTCTTTTAAATTCAGTGTCCTGAGCTATCTCTAGGGGTTTCTCCTTGTAGAACTCTTCTTCGGGACTGGTGGAGTTTGGTGGGGACATGTTTTGGTTTTCCATTTTATTATTCTTGTGTTGTGATTTTGGCATGTGAATTTCTTTTGTTGTTTGTGATTCTGATATGAGAATTAAGTTGAAGTATGCAACTGTTTGTATTACCAGGGTGCCTAGATCCTTTATTGTTATGTAAAGCTGGTTGGTACAGGGTTCAGGTTCTCTTAGGTTTTATTTTGGAGGGAACTGATGGCTTCAGATCAGCTATTCAGGAGCACCCACAGAAGCCCAAGTCAGGTACCAGTCAGGTACACTCAGGTGACTTTTTAAGGTTTGAACCCCTATTAGCAGAAACTCAAAGAAAATTTGGGAAATTCCCTAACCGGGGCTGGGGGTGGCAATTTTGGGACTCTCAGTTGGTCTGCTGTGTTTTTAGCCCCTATGCCAGAGGCAGGATCTAGATGCTCTCAGGCAGTTCCCTGCATCTCAGCTCCTATGCCAGAGGGATGCCAGAACCTGGCACACTCTGGTGGTCTGCCGCCACACCAGTGGATGTTGGAACCTACCCTCTCAGGCTGTCTATGGTTACTTTTATTTCCAAAACAGTTGCATTAAATTCTTCATTTTTGAATGACCACATATTGACTTTATCAGATTGGGTCATTTGAGAAATAGCTATGCTATCCATTTAACACTTTCTAGCTTTTATCTGTTAAAAAAAATGTAATCAGATGTGTGTGTGTGTGTGTGTGTGTGTGTACATGTATGTGTGTGTGTCTGTACTTGTGGAGATCTGAGGACAAACTGAGGTTTCATTCCTCCTCAGCTGCTCTCCACCTTGTTTTATTTTTAATTTTATTATTTTTACTTTATGTGTATGCATGTATTGCCTGGATATATATAAGTGCACCCATGTTGGGCAATTCCCGCATAGGTCAAAGGAGGCTGTCAGATCCCCTGGGACTAGAGTTATGGACAGTTGTTAGCTGCCATGTGGGTGCTGGGATTCAAACCTGGGTCTTCTGCAAGAATAACCAGTGTTCTTAACCGCTGAGCCATCTCTCCAGCCCCCATCCACCTTGTTTTTTGAGACGGGATCTCTCGCTGAACCTGTAGGCCAGTGATTCAGCTAGGCTGCTGGATAGCTGAAGAGCCTCAGGGAACCAGTGCTCTGCCTCACCAGCATTGGAAGGATAAGTGTCAGTCACACACCTGGTATTTTCATGAGTGTGCTGGGGATTGAACTCAGGTCCTGTTCTCTTGTGTGTGCAGCAAGTACTTTACTGACACATCTAGTTCCCCATCCCTAAATATAATCTTTCAACTTTCATGGTAGAAAAAGAAATTAGAGATTCTTTTTTTCAGAATCCAAATTAAAATACTTAAGAACAAACTTGTCCTAGTTTGTTTCTCCATTGCTGTGACAAAAGACTCTGACCACTACCAACGTGGGGAGGAAAGGGTTTATTCAGCTTACATCTCCCAGGTCACAGTTCATCAGGGAGCCCAAGGTAGGAACTCAGAGCAAGAATCTGGAAGCAGAAGCTAGAACACAGGCCATGGAGGATCACTGCATACTACCTGCTCCCTGGCTCCTACTCAGCCTGCTTTCTTATACAACACAGGCCCACCTGCCCAGGGGTGGCACCACCCACAGTGGGCTGGGCCCTCCCATATCACTCAACAATCAAGAAGGTGCCCCAAGGACATGGCCACAGGCCGGTCCAATGAAGGCAGTTCCCTAACTGAGGCTCCCTCAACCCAGGCATGTCAAGTTGACGCTGAAGCTGTCCAGCACAAAACTCAAGCCATACTTTTGAAAATCAAAGTGTTTGAACACCCAGAAGGAACAAAACTAAACGTGCCAATTATTGGCCCAGGGGTCTGAACCTAAAATTCCTTTTTAAATAATCAGACATTTGTTATTCTCTTTCTTAGTGACACAGGAACAACACCTCCAGAGAGTGGTATTTTTGGATTTATGATAAACTTCTCTGCATTTCTTGGTAAGCATATGATTATTATAAATGAAAAATCTACCATATCAAGTGAAGGAAAATATGTTACCTATAATTTGAATTTTTTTTTTAAAGCAGAGCCTTTGTAACTAGAATTTTGTGCTTCATTGAGAAACTAAAGTATATAAAAAACTCAAGTTTATTTATAACTTCATATAGAACTACACTTTTCTTCATCTGGTAATTTGACCCCAGATTTGTTAGAGGTAGTTTAAAATCCTAAACTTCTGAAATGGATTTCTAATTTTTTAAAAAGATTTATTATTATTATCATTATTATTATTATTTGTGCATGTGTGTGCGTGGCATGTGTGTGTACCCCTGGAGACTAGAAGAGGGAGTCAGATCCCTTGAAATCAGAGTTACAGGTGTTTGTGATCCGCCCATTGTGGGTGCAGGGAGGGATCTGAACTCTGGTTCTCATGATAGATCAACAAATGCTCTTAACTACTGAGCTATCTCCCAAGTCCTGAAGTGGATTTTAATTGTAATTCAGTTTTTAAAAAACACATGTATAGCCAAGGCACGTGTGTTAGCCAGTGCATAAGGCACTGTTTCTCAAAATGTGTTCTGAAGGCAGCTTAAACAGAAGTCATCTGGGGTGTTGGTTAGAACACATTCACCTGAGCTACCTTATAGAGCTATTCAGTCAGGACCTTTGATGGGGCTCTGGGAATATGGATTGTAAACACTTGGGGCTGGGGTGTAGCTCAGTGGTAGAGCACTTGCCTGGCATGTACTCAGCCCTGGGGTTGATCCCTAGCACAGTGAATTTAAAAAGATAAGAAAGAAAGAAAGAAAGAAAGAAAGAAAGAAAGAAAGGAAAGAAAGATTGTTTCAAAGAAGAAAGAAAAGAAAGAAAGAAAAGAAAGAAAGAAGGAAAGAAAGAAAGAAAAGAAAGAAAACAAAGAAAGAAAGAAGAAAGAAAGAAGGAAATCTTAGCATAGTGAATTAAAAACAATCTAGGGGACCTGTTTACTCTGATCTCAATTAAACTCAGTCTACTAGAACTCCCTAGTAGACCAGGAGATCATCTCTGGGATTAAAGGCAGATCTTAATCCTTCCCTAATCCTCCTGTGAAGCCCTCAGGGCCCATTGTGTCTTTGCTGGGATTTTACCTGGTTTGAGTTTGCATGGAACTAGTGTTAGCCTGCTTTTTAAAATGTAGTAAAACACTGTGGTCCTCACTATATCAATACAGATAAATCTACCATGTCCTTTCAGCACCTGTACTCCTTTCAGGGATGTATAATGTAATTTATTTAACCAGTCTTCTATTGTTAAACATTGAAGATGTTATGATATTTTATAATTACAGTGTTAAACATCCCTTTCATGTAGTTATGTAGGTTTTTCTTTTTTTCCTGTCAATTTGCTTTACTAGAGGGATTACATATCTAACATTATGATAGTTATTACCTTTCTGGCATTGACTTTAAAAAATATTTTGTTTTACTATTTTTATTTTATTTTATGAGTATGAATATATTGCCTGAATGTATGTAAGTGCATCTGTGTCATGCAATGCCCACAGAGGTCAAAAGAGGGTGTCACATTCCCTTAGAACTGGAGTTATGGACAGTTGTTAGCCACCATAAGGGTACTGGGAATTGAGCCCAGGTCCTCTGCAGAAGCAGCCCAGTGCTCTTAACTGCTGAGCCATCTCTCCAGCCCCTTGACATTCACTTTTCAAGTACCTACTAGGTAGTGGACTCTATGTTTATACCTAGTATTGAAGTCAGAGTAGCAAATGAAACAGATGAGGCCCAGCTGTCTTGGAAATTACATCTTAATGCCAAATTACTCTCCAAAGCATTAAGAGATATTTAATTGAGTGACTATTTAGGAAAAAAAAACATATTTAGTACCTTCCTCATGTCATACACAATAACGAATCATAGTTTTAAAAACTGAACAGAAGAGCTGGTCATCAGAGAGCATACCTGTATTCTCACAGCTCTAAAGGCTGAGGCAGGAAATAAAATTGAAAAGTTAATGGTTTAAAATCTTGGAATGAAAAATTTATCTATGATTACATAAACTACAGAAGAGAATAAAAAAGAATTAACAGATTTGAGTAGGAAAAAAAATGAAAACTTCTAAATAGTGAAAAGATACAAAATTTCAAAGAAAACAGACCAGAAGATAATTTATTATATTTTTAGTAGACAGCAATCTAGTTTACAAAATGTGTCAAAAGCCACTACAAATTAAACCTAAGAGAAAAATAAGAAAAAAAATATGGTCATGTGATTCTTAGAAGAAATACAAATAGCCAAAAGGTCATTTACAGAAGGCTGAAAATTGCTAAATCTCACTAATGAGAAAATGCAAATTAAAGCAAATTGCCAGTTTTCATTCACTAGATAGTCGTTAAAAGGGTGATGCACACGATTGCTCTCCCACCTCAGCTGATGGGAATATAAGCGTTACAGTCTCAGAAGAAATTAGAAGTGCTTCTCAACATTTTAGTCATGCATGTTTTTTTTGACACTGTATTAATTACTACTTCTAGGAGCTGATCTTTCAGAAGCATCTGGAAAGTGTGTCCCAAAAGCTTACAAATCAAGGTTGTTAACGGAGTATTACTTGTAATTGGAAAAAACAGGAAATAAAGTAGAAATTCACCCATAAGAGATTGATGAAATTAGGATAGTATCTCATTCACCCATAAAGAGATCTCCTTAAAAATGATGGGTAGATTTATTTTGTACTGATTTGGAAGAATCTTTGTGGCACACTGTTAAATGAGAAAAGCAAGTCACAGAATAACACAGAAAGTGTAATAGCATTTACACCAAAAGAATAATAGCCACGATAGTGTGTGTGCATGCGTGTGTGTGCATGTGCGTGTGTGTGTGTGTGTGTGTGTGTGTGTGTGCGCGAGTGTGCATCCATTGCACTAGGGCAAGAATAAGAGGAAGAACAGAGTGTGTGGCAATCGGGACTTTTTTTCTTTGCTTTGCTGGGAACAAAACTCGAGGCCTCATGTATGTTAGGCAAACACTCTACCACTAACTTTGCATATATTAATCTATTTGGGTTCTGCAACTTATTAGCTGATCCTTTCCCAGTCGTAATTGAGTCTTTTTTTTTTAAATGACTCAAATGTGTTCTTGTTTTTCATTCTCAATAAACTTCAGCAGGGTCTCTTTCTTCTCCTCAGGTGCAGCCACGATGTACACACGATACAAAGTAGTGGAGAAGCAGAATGAAACCCACTATTTCAGCACTCCTGTGTTTAACATGGTGTCATTAGTGCTTGGATTGGTGGGCTGTATTGGAATGGGCATTGTAGCCAATTTCCAGGTATGGCCTGAGAGTTTTCAGGGATTGAGAGTGACAGATCCATGTGTACGAAGAGACACAGGAATGCAAGAAGCAAACCTGCATTGGGAGAGCTGGGAAAGGTCATCAAGTTTCCAAAAATTGGATGGGATTGGCTTTTTAAAAAATATTTTATTTTTATTTTGTATGTGTATGAGTGTATTGCCTCCATGTATGTAAGTGCACCCATGTCGTGCAGTACCCATGGAGGTCAGAAGAAGATATTGGATCCCCTGGAACTGGAGTTATGGATGGTTGTTAGCCACCATATGGGTGCTGGGATTTGAACCCAAGAGCACTCAGTGCTCTTAACCACTAAGCCATCTCTTTAGCTCCTCTTTTTTTTTTTTTTTTTTTTAAAAAAAGACAGGGTTTTTTTTACCCACTGTATAGCCCAGTTTGGCCTCAAACTCTTGGGTTGTCCTGCCTCAGCCTCTGAGCACAGGGATTAAAGTAGCTTCCA